TGAGTAGAAGAACCAATTAAAGGTGATAAAGGACGCGGACTACATAGCGTAACGTTTCTGAGACAAGCTCTTTTAAGCCAAATGGTGACACAGTTCCTATGGAAAGTCTTGTTTACTAGTGCATAAACTGTTACAATGAGCTGGAGAGGATGCAGGTAAACGTTCAGCAGCGGTGATGTGACAAGGAACGGTGAACCTTTGGCTGCTCAATGACAGTTGTTGACTGTAAGTTCTATAAGACAGTAATCACGTTAAACATGAAGCTTGGACTTCATTTTGTTGACGGAGAAGACACCCCTTTGCAGCAGCCAAACACAGTTGACCATGACGCAGGCCGAAGCTTATCGGTCAACTAATGAGAGCGGGCTAATGATGACGCTTCACCTTGAAAGCTGCCAATGAGGATGGCCCACCTTGAAGCCCACCAGTGAATGCTACCCCGTTCCTTTATTAACTGTTGATTTCATCCCCTTATTTGGTTTGTTTACACTGCTTGCCGAGTGCGCAATATAGTTTTCGCTTGAGGCCTCTGTCTCCTTATCTGGGAAGTCAGCTTGCGCGTTAGCGGCAGGTTATTGGTACACTTAGTGGAAACCAAAACAGATTATGGCGACAGATGTGAACTAAATCAGGATGTCAATCTCATCAGAAGACCTGAAGACTCTTTTGTTGCAACAGCAGCACCAATTTGAAGCCGCATAGATGCGGATGATTGAGACTCTCATCCGAAAGCTTTCTCCTCGGTCGACACCCATCCAGAACCCTGGAAAACCTTCAGCGGACGCGGTGATCAGCAGCGTTAGTGAGTACATTTTGGATGCTGATTCAGGACTAATATTCAATGCCTGGTTCAGGCGTTATGAAGATGTCAGGGTTGTCAAGTCTCGATGATGCATCAAAGGTTTCTCTGCTGTAACGAAAACTGGGAACGGTCGAGCATGACAAATATCGCAGCTACATTTTGACAAGGAGCGCCCATGATTTCCGTTTTGATGACACTGTTGCCCAGTTCACAGAAATATTTGGAGACCAGACATCGCTTCTTAATAATCGGTACAATTGCTTGAAGCTTTGCAAGAAAGTGAAAGTTTTATTGTTCATGCAATGACAGTAAAGCGCGAATGCCAGAAATTTAAACTAAAGTCCCTTAGCGAAAATCAGTTCGAGTGTCTGATAGTAGCATGCAGTCCCAAAAAGATGCCGAAATCCGGACCAGAATACTTGGGATGTTGGAACGTGACCCAGATGTCACATTACAGAACGTCTTTGCTGAAGCCCAGAGGATCATTAATTCAAAGCATGGCGCAGCTATAGTGGAGGATTAAAAGGTGCATACTGGTGATATTACTGTCCAACAACAGAAATGCCCAGCTCGGAGAACAGGACAATCCTCTCACTGTCCATCAAGTTTCAAGGAGCAACACCTCGGCAAATGAGTACAGGAGAAGTCCATAAGCTGAACACCATCAGCTTGCTGGCAATGCGGAGGTTGGCATTTTGTGAGATGGTGACTCTTCAGCAAACACATCTGCGAGAAGTGCAATAGACGTGGACACGAGGAGACCCACTGCAGGTCCAAACTATCGTTCTGGACACCATACACTACTAAAAGCCAAGGTCACTGAAAGTTTGCAAGAAGGTTAAACGTCAACTTCTCCGACGATATTACAGACAGAAGGTTTGTCACTATCAGCATCAACGGACGACTGGCGCGTTTGCAAATTGACACGGCGTCCGACAACAGTCATTTCGGAAATCTGTCGGTGCACCTGACATTAAACCAACCAGGCAATAAGCAATGAGCGCATCAGACACCAAGTTGGATCCGATGGGTCAGATTGAGTGTGAGTGCCGATTTCCCCGCTTGCGTAACCATTTTCATCACAAGCCACAATAACTTGAACGTACTTGGGCTAGACTCGATCGAAGGCTTTAATCTCCAAGATATTCCAATTAACCAGGTATGTGCAAGTGTCCAAATACACAAACCCAAGGTCCTGAAGACAGTGTGGAGAGAAATATGCGTATGTTTTTCGTGAGGAACTCGGTAAGTGCACGAAGATAAAAGCCTCATTGTCCTTAAAATCCGATGTTGTTCCGGTCTTCCGTGCGAAAGGCCCAGTTTCTTACGCTGCGCTTCCAATCACTGACCAGGAACTAGATCGCTTAGGGCAAATCGAGGCTGTTCATGTAGTGAACTACTCAACTTGGTCAGCGCCAATAGTGGTAGACATGAAGCTTAATGACCAAATTCGAATATGTGCCGACTTCCCAGCAGGCCTCAATGAAGTGCTAAACTCTCATCAGTAACCTCTGCCGATTCCAGATTATTTGTTATCGAAACTAAATGGGGGTCGTTTTTTTCAAAGCTGGATTAATCGGATGGGTATCTGTAAGCAGAAGTTGATGAGCCATCAAGAGAATTACTGACGATTAATATGCACTGAGGATTGTAGCAATACCATCGAATTCGGTTCGGGATCAAGTCCGCGGTAGCAATATTTCAGCAAATCAGGGATAGGACGCTGACAGACGTAGACGTTGCCCCCGCATATTTGGATGACCACTGTCGTCGGAGCAAATGCAGATTAGCTCTTCAAAAAGCTTCACCTGGTACTTGATCGCATACAAGAGTGTGGATTCAAACTGTTCCCCGAGAAGCGCACATTCTTCATGGACTCAATTTCTTCCCTTGGTTTCATAATCAATAATAATGGCAGGCGCTTGGATACAGCAAATATCGAAGCTATTAGGAAGATGCCCGCTCCTAAAGATATCCCTACGCTGAGGTCTTTCTTAGGACTCATCAGTCACTACAGCCAATTTCTTCCTCACATGCAAAGGGTAGGTGGATCGCTTAGTGAAATACTGACCAAGGACAAACGCTGGCACTGGTCCGAATATAGTCAGAAGTTCTTTGAAGATGTGAAGAGGATGCTGAGCTCTGGCCTTTTGACAACTCATTACGACCCTACACTTGAAATGGTGGTGGCGGCGGAGGCTTCGAACTACAGCATTGGGGCAGTTATCTTCCACACGTTCGCTGACGGTTCAGAAGTGACTGCACATGCAGCTCAGTCATTGCCACCAGCCGAAACGAATTACGGGAGGATGGAGAAGGAGGCTTTAGCGATAGTATTTACAATACAGAAATTTCACAAAATGTATGAAAGAAGGTTGACCCTAGTTACCGAGCAAAAGCCGTTCTTAGCAATATTCGGTTCGAAGTCTGGTATACCTGTCCATACAGCGAACAGGCTGCAACATTGGGCCAGATCTCTGCTCGGTTATGATTTTGTAGTGAAGTACAAGGCTACAAATGACATCGACCAAGCGGATGCACTTTCCCGACTACTGGAAAATCGGCATCACCAACAGGAAGAGTTCATCATCGCAGCGATCTACCTAGAATCGAAGGTGAATCAAGTGTTGATGGAAAGCTTTAAGAATCTTCCTGTGATGTTCGAAATGGTTCGTGAAGCATCTGCGCAAGATTTCATCTTACAGCAGGCAATCAAATTCCATACTACTCAGTGGCCGAGAGACAATCTAGCCGGGGAGTTACAAATTTGGTCCAGAAGAAAGGATGAGCTTTCAATCGCTAATGGGTGTTTACGTCTTGCCGAAAGAGTTATCATGCCCAAGGAGCTTGGTCAGAGAGTTTCGTCTACTGTCCGAACATAGACTCAGAACTTAAGCAACTGGCAAAGTCATGTCCGAGATGAGTCCTTGTCAGTAAGGCACCCAGAAAGGCTGAACTAGCTTCCTGGCCGATGGCAACTAAACCGTGGGAACGAGGGCATGCTGACTACTTCGGTCTCGTGAATAGTCAGCAGTATCTGGTCGTTGTTGACGCTTTCAGCAAGTAGCCTGAAGTCTTCTGCATGGAGTATACAAGTGGGACAAAAATTAACGTCCTGAGAAGGTTTTTCAGTCAATATGGAATAGCTGAAACCTTAGTCACTGACAATGGTTCGTAGTTCACTTCTTCCCGGCTTGCGGAGTTTTTCGCACAAAATGGCATTATGCATCTACGCTCACCATCGTTTCACAGCCAGTCAACTGGACAAGCAGAACGCTACGTTGACATGTTTAAGCGATGAAGATGAGAGGAAAAGGAACTATGCAAGAGATACTGGATGCATTCCTACTAGCGTATAAATAAGACACGAATTCCCAGGTGCCAAATCAGTTGTCCACAGCAGAGGCATTAATGGGACAAAAGCTCCGCATTGTAAATTCCTAGCTGCTCCCGAGGCGTACTATCCAGCAAGAAATAAACACTCGAATGGAAAGGTACTACAATGAGCGACACAGAACGCAAGCACAATTTTCCCCGAGGACAATGTGTTTTGATCAGAGAGTATCGCGTGAGAAGTCCTCAGTGGGTGATAGGATCGATCCGGAGAAGACTTAGTCGATTACTCTATGAGATCAGAGTGGGTAGTTTGATTTGGACCAGGTATGTTAATCAGCTGCGACCAACTAGCACCCCGGTAAGCACTGGTAATCGACTGCTACCGCTAGTTATTCTACTGGACAGTTTTGATATGCCATCAAATATTCGGAACTCTTCGGATGCACCTCGCATAGAAGTTTCAGAAAGGCCGAAAATGCAACCGAGGCGCCGGACTGATCGAGTACAGAGATCCGTCATCAGAATTCAGCTGGATACAAGAAGGAAGTCCTATGTTAATTTTCGCGGTGAAGATGTTAACGGAGAAGACACCCCTTTGCAGCAGCCCGGCACAGTTGACCATGACGCAGGCCGAAGCTTATTGGCCAACCAATGAGAGCGGGCTAATAATGACGCTTCACCTTGAAAGCTGCCAATGAGGACGGTCCACCTTGAAGCCCGCCAGTGAGTGCTATCCCATTCCTTCATTAACTGTTGATTTGATCCCATTATTTAATTTGCTTACACTGCTTGCAGAGCGCTCAATACAGTTTTCGCCTGAGGCCTCTGTCTTCTAATCTGGAAAGTCAGGTGGTCAGCTTGCGCGGTAGAAGAAAGTTATCCGTACAGTCAGCGGAAACCACAACACATATGTAGCAGGATAAGAAGAGCTTGGTGTGGTTAGGAGCACTACGGTATGCAAATGATGCAAACGTAGTTGGGAAGACAGACACGAATGTGTATACCAACTTAACTGAAAAGAACAATCAGGAGAAAATAGTACACAAATGAAATAGCTTAATCTTCTTGAAAAACCAACACAATAAAATATACGACATCCACTTGTGTTATTCGGTTCAGTGTGAGTGTTTACCTTGGCGACATTGTCCGGTCCACCTGAGAGAACACTCAACAAGTTTTGGCATAACACTATGGCCTCAGATGCTAAAGTGTAAAAAAGGACACAGTGTTAACATCGGATGGTGAACAGTGGAGGGAAATTCCGTACAAATAAAGTGAACTGGTTGAAAAGCATATTGGCATATTCCATAAACTCTATCGGTAAAGAGATAGTCAACGAACTCATAGCATCATAGTGGTCAACGTAGAAAAAGTGTAAAGAATTAAGCAGAGCGTTATATAGTTGGTAACCACTGTATACAATTGTGATGCCACCAAATGACCTAGACTAGGGGATTGTTACAGGTCACCAGATACAGGCTCAAGATTAGGCGGACGTCAGACAATAAGGTACAAACCATACAGTGCGTCGAAAAGCGCCGTAGTGAGTGAATACAAATTTAGTTCAGTCCAGTGCTGATGATCAACTGCAATCCGTTCACCGAAGCAAGATGGATCTCCCATTTCACACATAACACAAAAAACAGGACAAGAAACGTAAAGTTATCAAACATCGTTCACTGTGTGATGATCCAAACCAACCGGGGGAGGGGGAAGAAAACAGAAGTCAAGGCTCGACTGCATTAAGTATCAAAAAAGGAGTAAATTTAGAGGTCAAACAAACACCCTTGTAGCGACGCCTCTGACTTTTAGCCATTTGTGCCTTCGTCTTGGTTTGTCTGTCACCTGGCTTATCGGTTACCACTTGCGCCATATTTGGTCGTTGCTCACGTGTGCCAAGTTGTCGTCGTGCACCATAATTGACTAGCTGTTCGTAAAGCCAGAGTCAATGCTGTCGTTAGCTTCTTACACAGCTAGGCTCATGCGCGCTCAGCACTATGAAGCCGTGTGTCTGAACTCAACCGGTGTGACAACCAAATAAGAACAAGAAACGATAAGATGAAAGGGCCGGCTATCCTCTGCAACGTCCTTAATCTGTATGTTAGTGGAAGACAAGACGTATTACATCCAAGTTAGTTTGTAAATCATGACAGTCACCGCTGTCCTCAGTGGCGCATGATGCTGCTGAGTTAGCGACGCAAACGCTAGTAGGCATGGATACGGAGGTCGATGCAGTGGGTAGACGAAACAGCCATCTAGTGTTCCTGAAAACGCGGAGGACTATCCGAATATGAAGTTGTTGCAAAGAGACAAAATATCGGCCCTAACAGCTACTCAATGTCACATAGGGCACAGTTGCTGTCAGTCAAAGTCGTGTCTACCAGAGACAATCTAGTCATCTGCAATGTACGTAACTTGTATGGCATTAGTGGACGAGGAGGCGCCTTATAGCACAGTTAGCTCGGACGAAACAATGGTCTAGTGCTTTTCCAGGCATGTAGAGAACTATTTGGATTTGGAGATTGCTATGACAAAACGCCCGATAACAACAAGGTAATTATCATTCGATAGTAGTGAGTGGTGGGGGGATTTACTGTTTATGAGTATATCCATTGCAGCTAAACTAAGCCAGACAGCCACGACACATCCAGGAATGCGCTAGACGCCTGTTTCGTCCTATCGAGACTCGTCAGTAGTGCGCAACCTTTGAATCCTGCCAGATCCGAATCAAAGGACCTTACTCTTACGAGTCAGCGATACGTACCACAGCCATGGGGGACAGCGCGGACCGCCATGATCGGTACCTAACTGTGACTTAGCGCGGTTCGTTCCCCACTGTTATGTATCTTATGAAGGTGCAGAGGACAGGGCTGGCCCCCAGAGAAACGAATTGCTTAGTAAGCTGAAACTGAGAGAGCTACCTGAGCAATTGTGCAGCAATAAATTTGATAAGCCATGAGAAAAATGAGACACGGAAAAATAATTCAGTGTGTCGCAACAAGACTGGAATTGATGGAATTTACAATTTCGGGAGGCTTAGAACACAAATCGGGTTTGTACTGCGGCGATCTTTCACACTTGGTGCGACAGCTCCTTCAAGGCCAGTAATATCGTGTTTTCTTGCATGTTATCCATTGAGGAACTTTTGGTTAGAGGAGGCTAAGCGGCAAGGGAGGGACAAAGAAACTCACCCCACAAAAGCCACTCAGGTTGGTCCACGCCATATCAAGAAGTGTCCCCAACCAGTCTTTCGGAAAGAAGCCAGGAAGTCCTGACCAAACCATCCGTTGGTCTTATCGCATGTTTTTCCATCCATACTCTGGTTGCAGCAACAAACGTACATTGCTGTAGTGGACGTACTGTTATACTGTGATACGGAGTACATGGTCCAGACGTCGTAGTCTGGTACGTGCAATAAGAATGGTGCTAGGCTGCTCACTTCCACTTTCTTCGTCATAAACAAGATGCTGGGCATGGTGTTTACTCACACTGTGTCTTCACTAGATACGAGCTAAGATGCGAAGGCGTCGGTGGTGGAACCCAAGGAAAGAAATTCTTTTATGTATGTTCTTTTGATAGGCGACGTCTTACAACCGTAGGTGGGGGCTGAACGCATTGTGGACACCACCCTTCATGACGAGAGTGATGTCGCGCCGATGCCATAAGTGGTGAAGAATAGGAAAGGCACCCCACGCTTTCGCAACGTTTTGTGATTTCACCTACCATCTAACAGGAGCTGATACAGCTGCCTAGACATCTGAATTCTTTAAAGGCAACAATTGGTCGCCAACCTTATCAGTTTGTCCTCATCAATCTTGTGAGAAGGTTAAAATTTAAGATGCAATACACGGAAAAGCTTTACATTTAGAGTCGGTCTGCTCAGTCCCGTCTGGCACCTTTATAGGTTGCACCGGCAGATGATAAGTGGGAAAGTGGTGTTTGCGAGAAATAAACTAGCATCTTTAGACATACAGCGACCGTCCAACCTTACCATTACACACGTTTGCCACCCAGATGCATATCATAAAAGCACACCACAAGTAAGGACCAACATATGTGCACTTTCTGTGGCGAAAACGCCAATTTAGTAAAGGAAAATGTCCACTTCCAATGAGTAAATACTACAACTTTTGAAGCTGCAGGCCTGAAGGGAATATGGCAACATCAACAGGGTGGCTTCAGTCCGGAAGGTTCAGTGCAATAACCGAACAGATTTGACCGTCATTTTAAACGGTCGTCTCCGGATAGACGAAAACAGAAAGTGCCGCCAGTGTCATATGCAAGTGACGTAGAGGCTTGCAGGTTGATTATCGATGAGTAGAAGCCATCGATCGACAGGCAGAAGCGCTATCTGTCAATCGATCTGTAACAAAATGCTCATGTTAAAGCAAGCAAGTCATCGCAAAAATCTAGGGAACCACTAAAAAGATGAAGTGCGGTTTTCCACTTTGTTGGACATCGACTCGGTGACAGGGCATGGCGACACAGTGCTATTGTATGTAAAGCGAAAGGAGAATACAAAAGAATATTGTACAACATGGTGGAGGATAGGAATAGGGCAGTTGAGGAGAAGGAAAAGAAAAGTGAAGTTGGAACGGGACGATAAGGGTGAAAAAGCGTAAGAGAGGGAATAAGAAGACAGGAAGGACTAGTCAGTAGCAACCTCACTTATAGGTATCCCCGCTAAATGCAACAGATACGGCGCAGTTTATTATCCTCTGTCACAATTAGAGGAACCAGAAATGGTTAGAAAAAGAGTTCACTATATTGATTGAGACTCAGCCTCTGAGAATGCGAGAAAAAAAAGACGTTTTCCTTTCAGTATCCTTCATGAGACACGTATCTTTCGAGCAGCTAAGTTGGAAAATGTCTCCCACGCTCAGCAGAACGTACCCCGGCCGCTAGAATCCGGATTGTCACCGAAACTATTCGCTTATCATATGCAATACCTTTGTTAGGTTAGATAGCTGTGGTATGAAAAATCGATGAATGGTTTATACAATAAGTCTAAGCAGTGTAACATCTAGTTAGGTGGAGGGATTCCGTGTGGCTTTCTCCCATCACTGCACTCCCCGACCGACCGTTTCGTCTTGCTTTAGATTGATTAGGTAGAGATAGCCGACCTGGGAGTAGGACTCGGCGCGTAGTGAATCGCAGCTATCGCCATGATCACTAGGCCATTGAGCCCCGCGAGCAGTGCTTGACATAGGTCAGAAGTTGATTTGCGAGTTTTTGGAGCACCCGCCGTGTACCTTGGATTGCGATATGCCATGACTGAGATTGCGTGTCGCAATCCAAGACAAACGGCGGGTGCTCCAAAAATCTGAAGATCTCGTTAGATGTTTGCATTTCGGACCAATATAGCCTCTTAGATTGACTGCCAATAGTAGGACAAGGCGACGCAAGGTGACTTTGAACGTAACCTGACTGTTTCTTCTGTGCGTGTGTGCAGCTGCATTTTTCCTCACTTCGTATGTTACTGTTGCTGTGTGTTCCGTAACCGTTTTCCTCATCTCCTTTCCACATTGCTTACTAGCAACAGCCGAAGCGATTGCTATCCGCCTCCAGAACCCAGATGTATGTGCGCAAAAGCGATTTGTACATTTTGTTTGTCTACCATGGCTCTTCACCACAATGACCAATGTTGCGGAACACGCCACTCACATGTCCCTAACACAATTGTACTGTTAGCCGCGCTTCTGCTGTGCTGAGTTTGCACCCCAATGCTGTTTGCCGTGCGTCGGTTTATAGGGAATACCAATCCAGGAGTGGGGGGTTACTATAGCAGAATAAAGCAAACACACGTGACCAAGGCTGAACAAGCAATGTCGGAGCGAGTTAATGGCCAAGGGAAAGTCAGGGCTTGTACAAGCTTTGGTTGTTAGCACAGTTTTGGTTTCAAAACCCTAATCGCGATGGCTCCAGTAATGAACAATAGGTGTTCACTTAGCTTCCTTGGGTAGCGTTTAGAGATGGTATAAACGACATTAAAGGACTCATTCACCCGAACTCCATGCCCTGTTTCAACCAAGATTGTAGAATGGTATTGTTGATGTTTTAGAATGAGGTTGGGACCGGTCAGGAAGTCCGTAGTTCAGAACGGTGGGTGGATGACCGCTTAATACATTTGTTTAATAAATGACGTTTTGAGTCAGAAGTAAGCAAGTGCGCGAAGAATATTCTTTTCGATAATTCTCATCAGGCGAGTACAATTATGAAGCAAAACGTTTGGAGAGAATAAAGCCCGTAGAGGCCTGTATAGAGAGCAATCAACTCATTAACTGGGCAATTTTAAAAACTAAATCAATGATTTGATCAATCGGACTGTCGCATTAGGAAGCAGGTGATCAAGGAAGGTCAAGTTCAAGGCCAAGGCGATTTCAGAGCCTGTAGCAGTGTGCGCTGTTTGCACAGCTCTGGTTTTAGCACTTTGATAGCAATGGCTTCAGTAATGTTCAATAAATGTTTCTTCAGCTGTTTTGGGTATCGTTTAGGGATAGTATAAACGACTCGAAACGACTGGCTTATCCGGACTTGGTGTCCAGTGTCGACCTAGTGTTGTAATACGGAACTGTTGATGGATTTTACCGTGCCTTTTCGTAGTGACGCAGGACAATGCTCAGCGATTCTTTTGAACAAACACCTGGTCGTATGTCCAAGATACCTAGCATCACAGGTGCAGGTGAACTGGTATAAGACAAACGATTCGGACCGAACCGGGAGTTTATCCTTTAAGCGCTGAAAAATCAGTGGTCTTGTTTCGGCAAGTAGTTTTAGATTGGCGGCTGGAAATGTCTTGGTCACTGCGATCGAGATTTTTCTATTCGATAGTTGGAACGCTACGTCACCTTTAAAGGGAACTGTAAGGAATACATCCTTTTTGGGAACTGTAGCGACACATTTGACAGCCTCAAGCTGTTTGGAATGCTTTTTGATGAAAGGTATGGGGTAACCATTTTCTTGCAGCGTGTTAAAGATGAGCTTGTTTTCGCTTTCAAGCGTCTCTGGACTGCAGATTGCTCTGGCACGATGGTATAAGCAACGGACTAAATTCCTCTTGTACCTCAGCGGTACAAAGCTAAGAAAGTGGGTGTATTGACCTACCTACGTCGCTTTGCGAAAAACGCTCCTTTTGATAGTCCCGTTTTCACGCCGATGCAATAGAACGTCTAAGAACGCCAAGCGGCCATCTTGCTCAACTTCACTGGTGAGTTTTAATGATGGATGCACTCTGTTAAACTGGTCTAATAGGGTTAGATAATCGGTGGAAGAGTCACAGACAATGAAAGTGTCGTCCATGTAACGGTAGTATAAATCAAATGAAGATATAAGGGTGTTCAGGTCTCCATGTTCAAGCTTTGAAAGGAAGAAATCGGCCAAAAGTGGGCCTAGGGGAGAACCCATTGCGACTCCATCTATCTGTCTATAATAGATTCCATTAAACAGAAATTGTACGTTGAAGGTGCAACGCAGAATCAATTCCTTTAATTTATTCACCGGAATTCCAACATCAATGTTTCTCTCAGTGATTAAACCACAAATGAATGTCACAGTCTCTACCAACGGCACGTTCGTGAAAAGTGATTCTACGTCAAACGAAAGCATTAATTTATCCTTGACGTTTAGGTTTTCTATTCGGTTGACAAAATCAAACGTGTCTTTGACCGTATGAATAGACAACTCTTTTCGAACCGGTTTCAGCAACTCTGTTATCCACTTTGCGACCGAGTGGAAAGCTGAAGTAGACATATCCACTATTGGTCCCATCGGAACGTTTGTTTTGTGCACTTTTGGCAAACCATAGAGTCGCGGAGGGTGTGAGCCGCATGGGGTCAGCTTTGAGAAGAGTGCATCATCTATGTGCTTCGACTTTCTTAATTCTTTCAAAATGTTAATGATTTTTGCTTCTTATTGCGAAGTGGTCTCTTTGTGGATTGCGTCTCGTCGGAATTTGTTGGTGTCGTTCAGAATTGTTGTCAGTTTAGAGATGTAATCAGACTTGTTCATCAATACTCAGCCAGATCCTTTGTCTGGTCGGGAAAGGATTAGTTCTGGGTTGGATAACAGCTCCTTGATTGCGTCACGGTGCTTTTTTGTTAAGATGTTTGATGTTTGAGACTTAACGTTCCGATACTGATGGGCAAGATGCACTAACGTGGTCTTAAACGTGTCAAGTGCGAGTGAAGATGAAGGTGTTAAACCAACTAACTGGTTCATTAAATTCTCAAATTGGGTCTCCAAATGAATTTGCCCGCATTTCGGCTGGGAGAGGCAGAATTTTGGCCCAAGTGCCAATGCTTCTAAATGTAGCTGGTTCAGTTGCTGGCTAGATAGATTATGCACATATCTATCGGGATTGGCAGGGAACTGTGTTTCAGGTGAGCAAGGTTCCAAGCTTTTGAGCAACTTAATGTATCGCCTCTCGTCTTTTCGCATATATCTTGCAAATAGCCAAGAAAAGATTCGCGGTGCTCACTGCTGAGGTCGTCGATCACCGACGAGTAGAGGATACGCAATCGTTCCAGTTCAGGGAGTCGAGATTGGATGGCTTCCAGCTGACTATGAGCATATCTTTTGAGAGACTTGGCATTTGGACGAATGTGAATTCGTCGGAGCGATTTCCAATAAGTCTTCGGATACTGGTTACGTTCTATGCAATCTTGGATGAAACGGATCTCAGTCTTCGCATCGGCAAGCCGGGCGTTAAACCGCAAGCATTTGTTGAGGTCACTAAACGCTTCTTCGCGCACTTGCTTACTTCTGACTCAAATGGGGATTATTTATGAAATGACGTTTTGCTTTTGACACAGAAACTGTGAAAATAAGCTTGCACCAAGCTTTCCTGGCAAAAGCGAAACGTGGTGCGCTCAAGAAATACATTAACCGGTGGCTCATAAAGCATTCTGAAACGAACTGTCTGTGTGTTTCATCATGCCATTTCCCAATGACGAAGTAGAGTTCAAAGATTCGTTTAAACAAGTGCCTGGTCATATGTCTGAGAAATCTTGCATCACAGGCGCAAGTGAATTGATTTAAGATAAAGAATTCTGACCGGACCGGAAGTTTCGTTTAGAAGCCGAGGAATCAGTGGCCAAGCTTCGGAAAACAGTTTTAGCTTGGTAACTGGAGACATTTTGTCCAGTTCCATCGAAAGATTGTTACTAGACAGTACAAAAGTAATGTCACCTTTGAAAGTACCTGTAGGGAAAACATTGTTTTTGACACTGCAGCAACAGATTTGGCGGAATTGGATGCTTTTTAATGAATGGTATAAAATACCCACTTCCTTGCAGCGGGTTAAACATGAGCTCCGCAGATGGTTCTGGTGCGCTGGTACTTACGACGAACCTAATTCCTCTTGTACCTCAGATACAAGACTGAGAAAGTGGGTGTATTAGATAGTCCTTCGGTTTGAAAAAAGCACTACTTTCGATTGATTTGTTTTCACACCGATATAGCAGAACGTCTAGGAAGGTCAGACAGCCAACTCTTTCTTGACTCCATAGGTGGATGTACACAGTGTTAAACTGATCCTATAGTAGGCCGACGCAATGAATGTATGTCACTCCATATCACGGTAGTATGAATCGTATGAAGCGATAAGGGGTGACTCAGGTGGCGTCGACCGAGCTTTGCCGGGAAAGTAAGCTTAGGGAAGGAGCCATTGTGATCCAATCGATCGTCCATAATACTATATATCCCAGTGAACAAAAATTGCACGTTGGGAGCACGAAAGTAGGATAAACTCTGTTGGTATTCCCACCGGAATTATAACATTCCAGATTCTCGCATAGATAGTCTCTATAAGCCGTAAGTTAGCAGAAAGGGACCCCACATAAAAAATAGCATCAATTTATCGTTCACATGTAAGTTTCATATTCGTTTAAAGAATTCAAACGAAGCTGTTACTGTATAAATCTACAATTACACACCGATTTAAGCAATACAGCTATCCAAATTGCGACAGAGTAAAAGCCGAGGACGACATGTTGGTCACATGGGTACATTAGCTTGGCGCACTTTTGTCAAACCATATGGATGATGTGTGTGTGTGTGTGTATGCTGCTTAGTCCGATTGGACAAACCATTGATCGATATCTCATAGCGCTTAGCTAGCCAGCTGAAAGGAAGTATTATTTCTTCTATTGTCATTTAGACAATCTTGACAAACCTCTCACTAGCATGTTGGCGTCAAACATCTGTTCAATAATTGTAGGTGCTTGAATAAATTTATCGAAAAGTATACCTTTTGCGTGATGTTAACGCCTGCTATAAGATGTCATGGATAGGGAGTACAAAAAAGCGCAACATAGACTGATTTAACGAAGCTTACAGACGGCTGCCCCTGTTTTAGAGGTTGGTAAAGCAGCGCAATCCCCAAGCGACCAAATGTTAGGAAATTTCTTGTGACGCAGTGTGGCGGTGTCCACATTCACATAATCGCCGAGGTCAGGGTTCCCCAAATCCGGAGTGTTTTTCAGCACTGAAGATACCGACATCGGAGGGGTAATGTGCAGCATATCATACTGAAACAAGCAGAATTTGGAAAAATCAGGGTGACAAGAGGCATGAATTGAGCAAGTATTTTCTGAAAAGGAAACTCCGATCCGAAACTGTAGAATCAAAATAAACTTGATGAGACCGTGCACGATACAGTATATAAGTATGCAAGAACACTGCTATAACCCGTGAAGATATTAAGGGCCAACCAAGGTGAACAACGCATAGTTCTCAACAATAAGCTTGCGTGTTATGAGAGTGATGGCAGCAACAATCGCGACAATTTACACAAGGAAGTTCCGACAAGAGTAATTTGGGAGTTAACAGGGTGTATGGGATAGAGAACGTCTATACTGAGCGTTAATTATGGCCCATAGCCGATAGATGGAACAAGAGGCGCAGGCGTAGTATGGAACCGTTTTTAATCAAAGCTTCCTAAGTTACAGTGGCTAGAAATGCCGAAACGAAAAGCCAATGAGATAAGCAAGGTAAGGCAGGGTCACTGTCAACCAATCATGTGAACGCCTGTGTTCATGTATCAATAGACAACTGCATACGTGACACCCCTCTCTTCCCTGGTAAAGACTACAGACTCCAGGTTGATACCGATCAACTGACTTAAGCGTGTGTTTTGAGCGCCTTATGTGAGTTTGCTCCGCATCCGTTTGCGGTTCCGGGTTTTGTGAGACAGATTCTCCACCCGTTTTTGCATCAGTAGCAGTCGACCTTTGATCCCGCCCACGTGCTTCGATTGAGCGAGACCGGATATAGTCAAAATGGAGGCGCAGCACACGGTTGTCTTAAGGCAGAAGCCCCGCTTGGTTACTCGTTGGAGAATAGGTTGCCAGCTTGCTTCGTGAGGCAGTCTAGTGTATACCAAATCGAAATCATTAAGACACATTTCCTCTGGCATCTTGTCATCCCCACACATCTGCGTTGCCGTCATTCTCCTTCGAGGATTCGGAAAAAGTGGGTGCAGTCTCATTCACGGTGGTCAGCCAAACATTAACTTCGCGGGTGAGTTCCCTGTCGACACAGTCAACGTCGTGCGTTAAGAGAACAGAAGACGATCCAATTTACTTTGTAGAGCTCCATGAGTCTGCTTAAGGAGACCATGCTTGGCAGTCTGGACTGCACGTTCTGTCATTCCACTCGGTGCACGATGGCACGGCGCAGACTCGATGTGCTGTAATCCGTTGTTACTCAGGAACCGCTGAAACTCTTCATTGGTAAATGGTGTCCCGTTGTCGGTGTATTCCGTCCCTGGAAGACCGAAAATGGCGAATATGGAGCGCACTTTTGTAACCGTTGTTACGGAGGTCGCATGTGGAACTGGATGTATTAGTAAAAATGCAGATAATGGTGAAGTCAAAAGTAGATACATCATCCCATTAATTGGGCCAAAGTAGTGCGCATGTACCGGCTGCCAGTTCATCTCAGGCCAATGCCATAGACGTATCCGACCGGGAGATTTCGTCTTTCGTATTTGACATTCTTCGCAAATTTTCAGCAGCCCCTCTATATCCTGGTCAATGTTCGGCCACCAACAGTACCCACGTGCCAGCGCCTTCATCTTGTTCACGTCGCGGTGTGTGTCATGCAGGTCTCTCATCTGGTGGAACTATGCGCGAGCCCCGAAATATACAGCCATCGTATACACACAACCCATTACTCCGACAGGCGAATGACTTCAGTTCGTCTGACGTGCTTGTAAGCCATCCGGTCATCAAGAACGGTTTCACTTTCAACAACGCAGGGTTACAGTCCGTAGAGCACCGCATCACGTCACTCTGGATGACTGTCTTTTCAAGGTGTTGCATCACACTGATAAAATCCATGGGTTGACTGTTCGCTGTTGTGCAATGCTGCCGCGGGAGGAGACTAAGTGCATTGGCAATGGTATTACTTGGTACATTTCCATACAGAAGTTTGTAGTTTTAGGCGCTCAAAACTAGTGCCCACTTTCGCATTCGACACGAAGACAACTAATGGATTCCTTTTTCCTCACCCAGAAGCGAAAGAAGTGGTTTGTGGTCCGCGTGGATATCGAACTGTCTTCTCCAGACGTACTGATGGAAATGCTTGATTCCGAAAATAATCGCACAGGCCTCTCTGTCCAGTTGAGAGTAATTCCTTTACGCAGGTTGCAGGAAACAAAAGCGATTGGATGAAGAGAATCGTCATCCGTCCGGTGGCAAAGGACTGCGCCTACTCCGAGTGGAGAAGCATCACACTGCAACACTAGAGGCCGGCTCGGATCGAAATGCACGAGATACGGGGAAACGTTGAGCACTCTTCTTGAACCTGTGTAGGCCGTTGTTTGATCCGGACCCCCAAGTAAAGGACTTCCATTGTGCAACAGTTCGTACAAGGGTGCAAATGCTGTTGAGGCGTTAGGTAAGAAGCGAGGATAATGAGAAAATATCCCTACAACAGTCGGAGTTCAGATTAATTCTTGTGTTCAAGTGCGACAAGGATGGGCTGGACTTTGTCTTCTAACACGTGTAATCCGTCTTGATCGAGGCGGTAATCAAGGTAAAGAAAGGAATCTGAGAAAAACGTACCCTTGGACTTCTTCAGTTTGAGCATAGTGGATAGCGATGATAAATGTTCAGCATCTGTACGTCCTGTAATTACAATGAGTCAAGATAGGCGCAAGTGAAAGGAATTTCTATGATCAGGGTGTCATTGATCCTTTGGAATATTTCTGGGGCCAAACTGATTCCGAAGTGCAGACGTTTGTACTGGAATAGATAAATGTGTGTACTTATCATAGTACATGAGCGAGAGATCTCGTCTAACTCATTTTGTAAGTACACGTGACTGAGGTCGATCTGTGTAAACTTTCGTCCGCCTGCCAATGTAGCATACACATCCTCTATCCGAAGTAAGGGATACTTATGCAGGATTAAACAACGATTAACAGTTTATAGACACCAAAAATACGCACAGAACCAACCGGCATCAGGACTGGAACTATTGGAGCTCCCCACTCACTGTGTCCGACTGGCTCGATTGTTCCTGCTGACTGCAATCTCTATCACGCCTTCCACTTTTGATCTCAGGTAATAAGGCAGAGTACGTGCCCTGGAAAAGCGGGGCTGAGTTCCCGGTCGTAATTTGATATTAGCTTAATATTCGTTCTATTTTTCCAGTTTATCATCAAAAGCGTCAGCATATTTGCTGAGCACATCCTCAAAGTGCTGATTAATGGACATGGACTTCAATGTCCCCGATGTAGCCGGAAGGCATTTAATCCAGTCGCGCCTGAGTAAGTTTGGACAATAATTCGCCACAACCTATGCCTGTAAGACCCGCATCTCCCCATGATAAGTAACATAAACAGTGCATTTTCAAGCACTGGTATCGGCTTCCCGGTGCCCGTTTGCAAAGTTGATTCACAGGGGGGGATAACTTAGGTAATCTTTTAATTGAAGCAGTACGGGTTATGGTAACTGAGGCACCGATATCAAATTCTATTTTAACCAACTGACCTATTTCCAATTGCACAATGTAGGGTGGTTGAATGCTACAGATTGTCGACGTTGCATTGCTAATCGTGCTTAGCTGATCATCTTCGTCTGAACACCGGACGACCTACACGAGTTTCTTTGAAAATCGTGATGTCGCAGCTGCCCTAATTTTCCACATTAGCGACAGGTCCTCTGCTTATGACGACATTCCTCGGCTGATAAATGCTGACTTCCACATCGCTAACAGTTAAAAGGCAATTCGGACCCTCTCGGGTTAACACCGTTTCGGTCGACCGCTTGGCTTGTGTTTGTAGAAAGTCGGAACATTCTATACAACCTGCAGAACAATTCCTGGCTAAGCTCAGCGAAACAATAATAGAAGAGGACGAAATCATGGTTTCTTTTGATGTAACAGCTTTGTTCACTTCAGTCAACACCAATCTGGTGAAGCAAACGATGTCAAGACTACTAGACCAACGCGCATCCTCAGACACGAACAATAAAATAGATGCCATCTACATGATGGAGTTGTTGGATTTATGCCTCACGACACACTTTAGGTTCAACGGCCAAACTTACGAACAAATAACAGGCACGCCAATAGGGTTCACTGATATCTGGACTAGTGGCCGAAACGGTGATGCAAGTATTGGAAGAAATCGCACTCCCGGTCGCAAAACCTAAACTCTGGCTACGCTACGTAAACGATACTTTTGTCATCCTAAAGCGCTCAAAAGTGGAAGAAACACATCAGCTAATAAACAACACATTTGCTGGTATTCGTTTCACTAATGAGGAAGAGAGCAATTGTCAGTTACCATTCTTGGATGTTTTAGTGAAAAGACATGCTGCTGGACAACTGGAGACAAGCGTTTATCGGAAAGTGACGCATACAGACCAAATCTTGAATTATCGCAGCAATCATCCAACAGTCTACAAGCGCAGCTGCGTAACAACTCCATCTAAAAGAGCGCAGACACATTGCAGCAGCGAAGGAAGATCATCTGTTGGAAATGTTTACACGGAATGGGTCTCCCAGGAATTTCATTCGATGTTGTTTAACACCAATAAAACGACCAACACAAAAACAAACATCAGAAACGGATAAAAGGACAATCACCCTACCATACATCAACGGCGTCTCTGAGATGGTGGCGAGGCTGCTATGACCTTTCGGAATCACAGTTGCTCACAAGCCGACAGAAACCATCAGAGACAACCTCTTCAATGGTAAGGACCGGCTTGGCAAAGAAGAAACAAGTGGTGTGATTTACAAAATCCACTGCAAAAAACCGTAACAAATATTATGTGGGCCAGACAGGAATAAAGCTCGGCACAAGATACATGAGCATAGCCTAGCCATCCGCCGACATGACCAGAACTCCCTGATGTCGGTACATATGGACGCCGAAAATCATCAATTTGATTTGGAGAACGTCAGGATCGATATAGAAGCAAATGTTGGTAGCTCAGGTTGTTTAGTTGATTGGCTGATTGTTCGCTGAGCTCGGCAGGTTGACTGCAAACGTTTCGTCACCACTCGAGGTGACATCGTCAGTGCGAGTGTATTTAGCAGTGGGTGTCAGGATCATAGGCAGAGCAAAAAGTCGAAAAGCATGCGAGTTCATCGAGGTTTGGTACTCGGGAAAGAACTCAATCAACAGGCACGTAGAGCTAGACACTGTCTATGAAACACTGAGGGTCAAAAGTGTAGTCCGCCCCAGATCAACAGGACGAAGGAACCTCATCGAGGCGGACTGTAGCCAACAGTACGAGAGAGCTGACTACACGGTCAGCTCACGTGGACCAATCGACTTCTGACGTTCGAATCAACTGATCAATAATCACCTGGATCTGTAACTGGCCCGCATAAATCGCACTGATGATGTCGTCTAGCCTGACGATGAAACGGTTGCAGCGAAATCAGCCAGCTCGGAGAACACCCGCATACCCTCAAGCTGCTAATTATTTATGGACATTCTCCAGCTTTCCAACAGTATTGCAGGCCTTCTCCCAGCTCATCGTCATCTCATCTTCCGATAAAAGCCTTTAACGAGTCAGTTGGTTACGGATAACGGATATCAAGCACTGTAAAGCCATCGCCTCTTGGGACCTCGTGGCTGGAATTTCACTATACCGAGAGACTGGTAGGGCTTGCTGAATCCTCGCAATGTAATCAATGATACTTTCTTCAGGGTTTTGATGTAAAGGTGGGAAAGAAGAGCGCGCAGTGTGTGTTTAGTTGTGAACCTCACAAGCCGCTGAAGCGCGCTGTCGACTGTCGCCTTTTCACCGACATGGAGGGCATCAAAATGTTTTTGGCTTTCATCCCCCAGAAACCGTCTCAATAAGTTACTGTTGTGGCTTTCTAAGAGTACCGTATTTGGTTGCAAGATTTGTAGTGGGTCCAAATAATCCAATAAAATGCGCTTCCAGCGGTTCCAGGTAGCTGATGTTGGTATCTCAGAAGGAATATTCCAAAGTACCGCAGGAAGGTGCAAAATCTTGGTAGTTTAACCTCGTCACCAGAATGTTAAGTATGGCCCCTAGCCGATGGACGGAAAAGAACGAACAGGCGTAGTATACAAGCGTTTTAATGAAAGCTTCCTAAGTTACAGTGGCTAAAAGTGCTGAAATTAAAAACCAATGAAATAAGCAAAGTAAGGCAAGGTGTTTGTCGACCAATGATGTGAGCGTCCGTGTTCGAGAATCAATACTCTACTGCATAGGTGACAACGAGACAGTAGGCAGAGAATCTTGCGAGCATACTACGTTATAGTAAGAAAGCCTAACAATTTGAAAGAGGGTAGCAAACAAATATTCGGAGCCAAATAGCTACGGTGCTTAACGTCAAATTAATAGGCACTTTAAATTCAGCCGAGCGATACATGCCGATCGTGTCGTGGGATGCAAGGAAGTTTCACCGAAGAACACGGTGAAATGCACGCTGCACGGAATGTATGACGGTAAACAGCGATAAAAAGACTTTTAAAACCCTCATAGTGGGGAATGTGGTAAAAATAGATGGACATATGAGAAATATAACTGGTTATCTAACCAGAGAACAGTCTCGCTAGGAAAGGCAATACCGGATATTTGATGTCCATCATCCGTAGAAATTATCTAATCGCACGCGTCATTAAAGTAAGAAGAACGTAAGTTAATAATGATTGCAAAACCCAACATCCCACAGACCGGGCAGAAGAAGAAAATCTCACATGAATAGTGTGCGATTTGTTGGTATCCAGGTTCTCAAATGTTGCTTCGCTCTTGGACCAATTGAGCTGTAAAAAGATGAATGTATACAAAGAGAATTACAGGGTAAATTGAAGAGGAAAGTAGGTGGCCATGACAACGAACGTATTTCCGAGGGGTGGGAAAAGATATATGGTTCTAAGCTGCAGTATGGGTTGGGGTGATAATTTGTGTGCTGAGGTACGCAATTCCACTGCAAACCTTCCATCAGCAATCGAGATGATGTTTTCAGTGCACAGCGGGGACAGTAGAATCGTCGCTAATGGGTACGGAGTTTCTGGAAAATTCGGGAGTGGATCGATCACAAGACAAAATGAAGTTCGCATACATTAACCAAAATGCGGGAATAACACATGTCTGTAAGGATTCTGAGATTGTGCCGAGTATGAGACACCACTCTTCCAAGTATGCATACTGTGTAAAATGTTGAGCACATGAAAAAGCAAATACTTCCATGTGTATATGCGCGGAACCCATAGAGTTCAGAAGCACTACAGTGTTCAACAAGGAGAAGGAGGTGGAATACTCTAGGAATTCACACAAAGCGCTACTTGTTATACATCGGTTTGGCTAACCTCAACGAGCTTTAGTTTAGTTGAACAACACTGGCCCGAGCACAGAAGCGCGCTGAATCCAACCAGCACGATTCAGGACACAAGAATAACAATAAATGCGGTACAAACGCCGAAGCTGACCACTTCTATATCCTGAGCAACACTCTAACTTGACAGGTTTTATTTCCATTGCTTAAACACTCACCATGTAGACCTTATGGGTACGGACTTCTGTGTACTGTCCAACACTATAGGTTAACCACTTTGGTCCAGTCTTCTAAGTGCACATCGAGGAAATCTGTCAGCGTGCCTATGTGGGACATGACCTAGCCAACATAAACGGTTGAGCTTAAGCAAGCACTCGAGTGAGGCACCATGTTTCTTGCCAAAAACCAAATGGCGGACATCAGCATTGCTGTTCCGATCAGATGTGAAAAATACTCGGCAATTAAGGGTGATTAATGTGCGCATCTGTAGAGAGTGGGAGATGTCTGGTAGGATCAAAACAGCCTGTTTCCATGCTAACGAAAAAGAATAGGCATAGTCATGGTTCTCAACCTCTATGTGCTTGTAAGACAAAAAATGGATTCACCGGAAACAATTACCCCCAATCAAAAGGAAAAGTATTAGTGTAAAAAGATAAGTGACAATGGCATATTTTGATATAATTATGGAAAATTAATACTCTTTTTGGTATTTTCGATCATGCAAATAAAGAAAACATCTAGTATTGAGTAACTTTTAATTAAATCATGAGATGATGAAAGTGTGTAAGACGGTTGGTATTGTTTAGAATCTCTGATATATTTGGTGCGATTTCGGTTAATCTAAATTCAAGTTCATCTCATTTTCTTGCTTTGGTGTGTGACCTCTGAGCAGACATGATCAGTTGTCAGAGGATTCCCATTTGTTACAACTATTCCTTCCAAGTTCATTCTGGATGACAGCTCCACCACCAGCCTGTATCGGTACGTTCTGAACACTAATCGTCTGTTTTGACCCTTCTACCGTGTAAACATTGGCTCGCTCCTTCATCTGGTCGGCTGACGTTTGTGTTCACTCAACACTGAAAGTCGACCAGGCGAACGACAGCCTGACACAAAAGAACAATGATCGAAGTGCGAGCCGATAGTGGCTCTATCTAGCTGCGTTGCTTTGCAGGCATGCATTCGTATTTTAGATGATAATTCATTAGCGGAAAGTGTCATGTTTACTGATCCTTCACTAATTATTAGCCAATGAGGGCTAACCAATAATGAATCGGTAGTTAGTTACATGTTTTGACACAGGTGATTTTGCTATCAATTTTATTTGGCAAAAGATTGCTGACCCAATTTTCGTACTTTAATTTACCCGTAGTAAATTTCATTCCACTCTCTTGGGGGTAATTACCCCAGGCTGAGAATCATCGCTATAAGTGATAACTGAGGAAGTTCATGCTAGGGGTATGAACGTAAGGTTTGCGATCGCAGTGATGGGTCATAGCCAAAGCCATGAGAAGGTAACAGAACGCACCGAGCTGGTAGCACGCACCGTGTATCATGTGGTTAAATACAACTCGTCAATGAGTAGGTGAGCGATAGAGAGACATCCACAGTGAATGCTGGGAGTGTGAAAATCTGACTGTTTCAAACGCCACATTCCTGCTTCCAGTAATCTGTGCTACATTAGACGTACTATAACACAGTTGCAAATTAGTTGGGCATTAGGTTGACTTAGTTTGTGTGTCTCTTCCAAGACTGCTGGTTCAATGAAAAGAAGTGAAATGGCCCAAATGAAACAGAAAGACGACAGACGTCATCCACGCGACGGGTAATCACCTTGCCGTCAGGTAGCGCAACCTACGATCTGTCGACGTTTTTATCCAGTTCCAGCAAAGCAATTTACGGTTTTACTTTATCCCACCCCGTCGTTTCGCAAGCCCATCTTGTCCTATCTGCCTCGTTTGCCAGTCGACGAAAAAGCAAATAATTAAAGACCCGAATTTTCCGCGATTCCGCGTAACGCAGAAAAGTCGCGAAAGTTGCTGTCTCGGAAAATGAAGAATTTCGTGAAATGGCGAAAAAAATGAAAAATTCATAAAGATAGCTACTTTGAATTCGTTTTCGTTGTAATCAATATATTTCTATACGGAAGAAATTTCAAAGCAGCCAGCTGGCTTTTGGAACATTCTTCTGGAGTATCATCACCTCCATCTGCTATCCAAGTCCGCTTGCCCCCAGACCCAAGTGTCACCCATGCATCTATGCACTGAGCAACTATGTGCCATCTGTCTGCCCAGGCTGTGCACATTCTATTGTCCATCATACAAACACCCTTTGCGCACATGTACATTAAATCTGTTCGGCCACACCTTTTTGCACATGCCTGGCCGGAATACAACGCCCCATTCCGGTCACCCGTGAAGTTTATGCGCTGTCACCGCTTAGGCTTTGAACAGCGGCCACAGCGGCGCAATTCAGTTATCTTGGTAGCTGCATCAGCAACGATGGTCGCATAGAAACTGACGTCAACTCACACATTGCAAAGGTCAGAGCTGCCTTGTTGAACCTGTGGTATCTTTGGCGACAGAAGGGAATTTCCCTTCGTCTGAAACGCCGTGTATACAAGGCCACAATGAGAGCCGTTCTACTCTATGGTAGCGAGACCTGGCCCCTTCGGTCTGAAGATCTGAGGCGCCTTCAAGTCTTTGATCATCGTTGTCTGCGAAGCACTGCTGGTGTCGCATGGCACCAGTGTGTCCGCAACGATGATGTGCGTAAGCAAGTACTAAGCACTCATAATCAAGCTGGCTCCTTAGAACAACAGATAGCACTGAATAAGTTCCGTTGGCTCGGGCACGTGCTACGTATGCTTGATCACCGCTTACCTAGGAGGGCCTTGTTTCGTCTGCCAAGTGTAGGGTGACGCAAGGCTCGAGGTGGACAGAAGTTGTCGTGGCAGCAGGAAATGAAGTCACTGACGACCAAACTGGGTGCTGTTGGTCCGTCTCGCCTTCTGGGTTGGAGTCCACGTGACTCACCTTGTGCTTGGCTCGAGACATTGCAGGACATGGCTCGCAACCGAGACCAATGGCGCGCCTGTTGTCGTCTAATCGGATTGCCTGTTTAAAGTGTGTTTGGTGCTGAGTTACCTGTGGGGTAATGGCTGATTATGACGTGGGGCAGTGAAAGCCGCAAAGAAGCTGTCTCGCCGATTCTACCTTATCTTTACACGATAGCCAGCTGTTTGTGACGGTATGGCATCAACACAAGGCGTAGGCGCCTTGATCCTGAATGTTTGCTTAGGGTACTAAAGATTTTTAGGCAAGTCCCCCTTCCTCTTATTAAGCTTGATTTCATAGGTCATCATGGTTGTATGACAGCGAAGCACCAATTCAAATGGATGATGTACTGCTGTTGTTGTTGATGACGGTGATGATGGGCGGCGCAATGTAAGCGACCGTGTGAATTCGCTAACCGTATGAAGTCGTCGTAATCTGTCAGTATAGGAGAGAGACGGTGGTTTGTACCCACTTTGAGTACTGCGTGAAGATACTGTTGAGCCAGTACTGAGCAGTTACTGTCGAGGTTTGTCGTTACCGAATTTTCATCTTTCTTTGAATAGTACCGCAACTCAGTCTCGGCTTGGTTTAACTTTGACCCGTTATTTCTACGTGCTACTCGATAACCAAGCACATCTACCGCATACAATGGTTAACAGATATTTTGCAGATGCCATCTCAGAAAAGGAAACAGTATGTAGGAGAAAAGCTGTTCTGCACAGAGTGAAGGAATTTCCTGGAGAATAATACGTCGATATCGTGGATAAAAACTACTGTTTTGTTCATCGTGTGAAGTGACTGTGAATCCATCTAGGAAATCAAACACGCATGACCTGTCCAAGTCGCTTTTCGGTAAACTGATCTTTTTATCGAGTCAGCTGGTCGTCGTGTGAGCAATATGTCTAAGTATGAGAGACAACTGTCGTGCTCAGTTTCACGTCACAGTAAGATTCGGATGAACATCACTGAGCGCTTTGGTTGCAAGTGCAGTATCATAAGCTGAGTCCATGATTAACAATATATCATCAACATAACGTTTACAAGGTTGAGGAGTTGATGATGTCTTCGTTGAGCCTTAGTTTAAATCCTCTGTTTTGTATCATGACCGACATGTATGTAATGGAGGAAGGTGCTTTGATTTCTGTTTATTTTCCTTTTTTTGCGGCGAAATCGCGCAATTTAATGTCTGCGCCGCAGAAACGCGGAATTTTCGATTTCAATCGCGAAATTTCGGGTCTTTAGCAATAATGCACACAGACTGTGAGTCTGAATAATGTATAGTATGAGGGATTCCCCGACTGCAATGATATGCAGGTCATGTTACAATAGCATTGGTTACTTAACTCGTGCTGCCACTGAACGGATTGTTAAGGCGACTTTCGAAGACATTAATCGTCCTTTTACCTTCGTTTGTTAACTGGCTTCAGCGGCTTAACAAAAATCTTAAAACTGTCATGATTGGTGAAAATGTAGTTGGTACATATCTGAAGCAATGAATAAATCGAGGAACAGTTTTCAATGAAATTACCTTTCATAAGTTTGCAGCACATTGCTGAAGGGTGTGAATTTCATATCCAGAATCTTAATACAGTTGGCTTAAATCCACTTGTGAAGTAGCTGTTTTAGGCGCAGTGTGAAAATGGTTCGGAGGGTAAAAGTAAATGCAATGGAATCGCTGGTGCGCTTGGTGGTGAAAGCAAAGGTTTCATTGCACACTAAGTGGTCAGCATTGTCGAATGTACCTCAGTAACACTAGATGTTGGAGCTCCGCGAGCAGGCAGGGTAATCTTGGTATATCTTCTGCTAATGCCTTTTATGTTCTGGCTATTGATTCTACTGTCTGCGTGAGCTGTGGGCGAGAATATTAGGTATCGTGTTGAAGTACCAGTATGTGACCGCCTGTTTGAATGGTAGTTGAAACTGCGTCAAGGCGCAAAACCGAGGAGTCAGGTAGGTGTCCAGGCATAACCATGGTACCAAATTTGGCCTTTTATAGAAAGCACAAAGAAGAGTAATACCGAAAAAGCCGTCAAGTGATTGACTGGGTAGGTGTGAATAAACAGATTGTATTATGAATATAATGGTGAACATCCTCCTAGAGATAGCTAACATGAGTAGGGGAAAAATTAATTGCATGCGCAATTTTTGATACCTGTTAAGCTTGG